CTTGGTTCAATTGCTTAACAATTCAAGATTCATGATTCTTAAGGGTTTGTATGAGTTTATGTTTGTTAAGTGAATTTTGCCTCCTATGGGTTGCTTGGATTGCTTGAAGATTAATGTCAATAACTCCTCTAGATAGGTTGAATGCTAGTTGTGGAGTTATTATTTGTGGAACTGATAGAGCTTTTATTATCAAATTGATGCGAAATTGTTTTTTGTTCAGTATAGTTTGCATTTAGTTAATGACAAGGATTTATCTAAGGTCATTTTAAAAAATTATTATAAGGATGCTATCCAAATTATTATAAATAACCAATATTAAAATAATATTTTTTTTCTTTTTTATTGTTCTTATTAGAATGTTACTTCAGAGTATGCATGTTCATTGTAAACATATTTTGTATCAAGTTGATAATTTTTTGGCAAGTGTACCAAATCATTGAAATAACAAAATAGATTATCGTCTACGGAATTAATGCTAAATACCAAACCACAAGAATGACACTAGTTAGGTTACCAAAAATAGAGTATAAACAGAACACAAATTAAATATATGTAGAATTGTAAAAGCTAATTTAAGAGTGCTGGAATTGAAAATATATATGAGCAGAAACTGAGACCAAAATAACTGCAAAATGTAAATGCTTTAATTATTGAGAGTGGGTCTAAAAATAGTTAAAAAGTAGAGTGAGTTCAGAATCTTTTATCCCTTTCCCTGTCTATAAAAATAAATGTATAACTCAAAATAAAGCTTTATCTAATGAAAGTAAATCATTTCACTTATCTGCTGTAAGCTATTTCTATGAACATGATTTCTTTTCTTGCAATATATTTCAGTTTCGGATTATGAAAACAATTAAAAAGTAAGGTGATTTCGAAATTTCTTATCCCTTTCCCTGTCCATAAAAATAAATGTATAACTCAAAATAAAGCTTTATCTAATGAAAGTAAATAATCTAAAACTGAAATATATTGCAAGAAAAGAAACCGTGTTCACAAAAAAAGCATACAGTAGATAAGTAAAATGAGAAAAGCTACTATTCCATTACAAAACCAGAGAAAAAGAGAATAAAATCCAAATTCCCATAAAAATCCTCTAAAAAACATGTAAGAAAACTATCCTAACTACCATTTTTATGTAAACTGTACGAAAACCTAAATTTATGTGCCTCCAGAATGTAATAAAAATGAAGGATAAAAAATAATGTCCTTTTAAAAATTTCTGCTTTTATATACTTTATCACCATCGTGTTCCCACGATCAAAAGTTTATATCTCTACAATTGTGTTCTGCAACACTCAATTTCTGCTCTTTAATTCAATTGACAATTTCATTCAAATCCTTTCAAAACTCAAATGTCAGCATCAAAATATAAATGATTCACCAATTTTTCCAGCAATTATAACATTCTATTGAAATTTTTAATTAAATTAAATGCATTAACTTATAATTTTAATTCAATGAAATATGCCAAAAATTTTTAATTTTCTATTTGAATTAATGACTCATCACAAGTCAATCATCTCATTGAATATAAAAAGAAATAATTTCTGAATATAAATTTTAAAATAATTAATAAAACATAAAATACTAAAGAAATCTAATTAAATTATTTATTTAAAAACTTACTATAATAATAACTAAGAAGAAAAGATAAATAATTAAGAATTTTACATAGATGTATTGATGTTAATTTTTAAAGATGTTATCTTTAAAAAATATTTTAACTTAACACTGTAATTATAAATTAAAAGATAATAAAAAATTTATAAATATAAATATAAGTATTTATGAAAAATATAAAAATTTATATAAAATAAAAAAATGATTTAAAAAATTAATATTTCAAATTTAAAATAAAAATAACAAAACAAAAAAAAATTAAACCATAATAAAAAAAAATAATTCACACCTTATTCTTACAAAATATATCATTTTTTTGGACTAATTTGTGTTTTTCTTTTTTTTTTTTGATAAAATCTACAGTATCCTCTACAATTAAGAGAGTTCATACCATCTCCTACAAGTCCAACAATTCCGGCACGCCTTCATCACAAATACATGCAGAGTATTTGTCGACAATGAAACCCCTGAACTTCCGGTGAAGTTTTTCCAATATGATTTCAATTCCTCTCGGTACTTCATGACATTTCTGATTAAAGAGAGGAAATCTGACATTCTTCCTGTTTTCTTCATAGAAATAGAGAAAGGACCATATTGGCACTCTTATAGTCTCATCGTCACATGGCATTGGATATTCCAGCTCACATAAAATTTTTACTTGGTTCCATTCACACTCTACAAATTGTTAAGAACAGAAATAATAATAGTTAATAAATAATAATAATAATAATAATCTTAATATATCATAATAGTTAAGAACAGAAATTCCTCACTTATCATCAAATTAAAGAAGAACTGTTGATTGGGTTCTCATCACAGGCCCCATTGACTTGGTAGAAAGCAAGTCTCCCAAGGAAGCAACTTTATTCCAACATAGTACACATTGTGGTGAATGCTGGGGTACACCTTGTTCTACCACATCAAGAAATTTGCCCTTTTATCATAACTTTATGATTTTTTCTTTTATCATTATTTTTCAACCCTTTTCAATTATTAACATGTTTAGATTTAGTAATTGCAATATAGTCCATCAACCAGAAGGTAGGCGTGCTTGTAATTAACATTTTCGAGAAATGCCCTCTACTTTTTCACATTTTATACACATAAATTTACAAAGCAATTGGAAAACTCCCGATTAAATTTTGGTTTTCAATTAATTTAAATTGTATGCATTTTATTTTTAATAGATAGTTCTTACAAAAATTAAAAATAAATATATCCAATCCTGATCAGCCGATCATCGTAAAGGGAATAATATATTGATGCAATACAATCTTGATTAGGTCGGTTCTGTCCAAGGTAAAAGGAATATTTATATATAAATATTAATTAACTAAACATTAATTTATATATAAATGTAAATTTCAATTATCAGACAATATTTGCTGACAATGTATCAATATATATTCCCATTAAATTTTTAAATTAATACATAATTTAAGGGTGATAATAAATTTATTCTTTTCTGGCCATTTAATGGTTTTACCAACATAAATGGCCAAATTTAAATTTTATCCATTTAAGGAGAGTCAGTAATACACTCAAAAAAAAAAAAAATCAATTAAAATTTAACTGCAATCTCCCTAACTGTTAAGCAGAAGAAAAGCATCGCATGTCCCCAGTATCATTCGCTCCAAAAATCATTCCCCTTTCTTATAATAATAATTTAGTTGAAATATATATATATATTCGCTTTCTATAGTTTACATTTTAATTATATATTAGTTGGTATATTTGAAAATTTACGTTTGAGTTTTTATATGAATATTTTTGTTATATTTTTGTTTTTATCATTATAACACTGTTAAAAATAAAGAATAAAATGTAAAAAAAAATACTCATATAAATTAAGATATGAGTGTTTTAAGTATAAGAACTAATTTGTAAACAAAAGTCAAATATAGGAATTAAATATATAATTTAACCTTAATTTTAATAAAATTTAAAATATACTCTAAGTATGTTACAAAAGGTCCAAACTTGTTGAAAAGAGAAAGTTCAATAAGATTATAAGTTAAATATATGGATTCTAAATTTTTAAGTAACTACAAACTCATATTAAAGTCAAAGTCTAAGATCATACATATTGATAATATAGAATTTATAATTTAGTGAATAAATAGATCAATCAAAAATCATAATTATAGTTAATAAAACATTAAAAATATAAAATAAAGTAAAATTCTTTATTAGTCAAGAATCAAATGTGTTATGGTGACAAGAATTATAATACTGGTCTTTTCACAATCAAGTTTAGTGTTTTGCATTCTTTTAAATATTATAATCGATTAAAATACATGTTTACTCTTTATAATTAACACTCATTTTAGTTTTTATGCTTAAAAATTTATATTTTAATCCCTATATGAGTATTTTTGTTACAATTTAGTATCTATTATTATAAATCCTAAATAGCATGAACTAAATTAAAAAAAAAAAAAAAACACTCGTATAACTATTAAAATGTAAATTTTTTAAATATAAAAATAGATTTATAAGTAAGTACCAACTATAGATAGTTTAATTTATTGTGTATATCAAAACTTTTACTCTAACTGATTCATCTTATCTGAGCTGTTGTACCCCCAAAATATTCCAAATGCTATGATTAATTTCTTGAGGCTAATAATCTTTAAATATTCATACAACAGAAGAAGTTAATTACTTAATATGAACTCTGGATTCCTTTGATGAACTTCAAATACTATTTACGGATTCTAATACAAAATAAATGCTTATAAACCTTTAACTATTTATGAGACTATCGTTTACACGAGTATATTGAAGGTAGGAAAATGGAACAACCTTGTGGAGAAATTTCTTTTGAATCGAAATGTAGAAATGGAATAAGGTGGCAAAAGAAATTCCATTTGCATGCAAGTCATGCATTACAATACAATGATTGCAACAAGTTGACGCTAGTATTTGGCGGAATATGAGTTCAAAAATCATCAAAGACTGAAGTATGAAATTTACGAGTTTAGAATTCAAAAAACCAGAGACTTTTCACGAAAAATAAATAACATGCTTTTCAGATACTTGATCAATTTTCTAAAACAAAAGTTTGTTACAACATCCAAGTTTTATAGTCAACAAGAGGCAGCGATTCAAGCTCATTCAAACTTTGGAACAATTCAATAGTAAATGGAAAAGAATAAAAAAAAATGTAATTACCATCAAGTTATTGTTCATGATCAACTTCAACCAAGTATCCTTTTATCAATCTAAAGTTCCTCATGAGGCAGTTGCTTTTCGTACCACCTCAGTTTGAAATTTAATTTTCGGAAGTAACATAGTTTGAAATTTTATTTCCAAAAGATACACAAAAAAAAAAGGATGGTATATATGGTTAGCAAAAAATAAATAAATAGTTAGTGTAGAAAGTAAAATTCTACTTATGATTCAATTCATGCTGGCAATTTGTGTCTAATCCAATACAAAACACAATTACCTTGAACGATGTTTAATCAAACTGGATGCTGTTACTGACACTCAAAAATAGATGCTGTTGAATATTTCCTCGTACGATGAAATGTAACATTGTGATAATATGAACCACAGAGCACCCTATCCTTTTCTAAAAACTTTCTCTTTGCCCATTATGTATTTTCAGGAACAAGTTCTAAATAAATTGGATCACCATTGCTCTATAAAGCTGCTACTTCAAAATTACCAAGGCATATACATTGAGGTATGTTCAGAATCATAATCTACCGAACTGCTTAAAAGAGAACGAAGGAAAATAATGAGCCAGACAAATGATTGGCAAAAGCTGGAACTTGCAGAGATACAACCCTCCCTATTCCTTCTGCTATGGAGGGAGTGAATACCACTAGAGTTGAGCTTGAGCTGAGGACTGTCCCAAAGAACAAAAGGCTCTAACGCCCCCAAAGAATGGAAGGTATTATTCTTATACCATAATCTTCTCCAACTCAAGTGATTCATGTTTTGGCAAGATACCTGAAGTTTATGATAAAGACAGTAAACTAAACTGCGCAAGAAGCCAAAATTAAACCATTTAAGAAAATGAAGATCACTTACCAAGATGAAATTAAAATGATCTTCTGCTATTGTAACTGTCATTATTTGAGTTATCCCCAAAAGAACCGAAACCGCTTCCACGTGAATCACCGAAGGTTCTGCTTTGGCTTGAATTTCTGTCACCAAATGCACCAGAACTTGGCCCACCATTTCTACCCATATCACCAGAAGAATTACCAGAAAATCCTCCAAACCCCCCACCTCTCAAACCAGGGTTACCAAAATGGCTAGAATTTGGTCCGCCAAACCTTCCCGTCTCACCAGAATTTCCATAGCTGGATCGGCCAAATCCAGAGTTACTGTAACTCCCAGAACGGCCAAATCCAGTACTGCGACCAAAACCTGCACCTCCAGATTGACGATCCCTCATGCCTCCAAAAGGGCCATATCGACCACCACTCATGCCCCCAAACATCTCTGCTGATCCACTTTGAACATCAATCTTTGGTAGCTGATAAACAAAAATATTGGAATAAGATGAAATTGCAAGCAATTAATCCTTATACAAAATAAGAGTGAACCACAATACAAGTAGCATAGGAAGGGTAAGAAACAATAGGTATCAAGAAAAATAATTATAACAGAAGGATTTTACCTTTCACGTCTAAATTAAGACCGTATTTGACTATTTGTGCACATGTAGAATACAATTGTCAACACGCAGTCAACATCAAAACCAATAACGCCCATCTAAGGATTCTCAGTTTGACAAAGACTTAATGTCTGTAAATCCAATTTGGTTAAAATGAGAACTCATAACATTGGAAGTTATTGATAATTAAGGCCTTCAAAGAGGTTGACATAAAGCACAAGACAGTTATGTCTGCAGCCGAAAAAACTTTTCAGTAACAGCCTAAAAATTCACACAACAGATTCACCTTACTCCTACTAATTATTCAGAAAATGTAAAGAACTTAAACCTTTTTTCAGATTATTTCCAACCAACTTAATATAGAATTCTAGGTTTAAATCCTGACATTGTTAAATATTTCCTGCTGATTTTTTCCCTTCCCAATCCAAGAACAACCTATAACAAATGTAATATTAATTATTACTTAAAACCCAACCTGATACTATAGATGTACACCTCATACAATTAAGCATGAAATTCATAGATATTTGTGATTATGAAATGCACAGTCTGCTTGCAGTAATCATAGTCTCGTGATAAGAAAATGAGTCTGCATTGCAGTAATATCATATCCTTATTCCTCTACTTCTACCAAAACTAAATGTAGTATCCAAATGCCATCACATTTTATTTAATCAATTATCAAAGAGGTTTTAAGTCCCAACTGATGTCATGAACATCAAAGGCAAAGGAGCAACTAGACAGAAGAACATGGATAGACAAGTACATGTATTATAATCCTTTTGAACCCATCAAGATAACCTTCTGATGTGTAGAACACACTGTATAGATTATAGAAGAGTATTAGACTTGGTGAAGATTTTCAGCAACATGAGTTTTAGCACTACTTAGCCAGTTAGCAGTAGCATCCAGTGGTAGTGGAAAACCTTGGTCAATGTAAGGATATTCTAACATGATTCAATCATAAACTAATAATAATATAGGGATATTCAGCACAAAGTTCCCTATCTTTGACAGCACATTCAAATCCCCTTTGGAGGGAGCTGGATGAGGTTTATGGCAAGAGAATAGGCAACCCATCTTTGTGTAGTAATGAACTAGAATAATAACAATAATAATAAAGACAACTTCAAAGAAGAAAGATAAAAGGATGAAAATGGAAAGGAAGCAAAGATCACCTCTGTAAATTTGCATCCAACATCACGCTCAATAGTCTTCACAGCCCTGGATTGATTTTCACTGTAAACAAGAATAGCAGTTCCTTTCTTCCCAGCACGGCCCGTTCGTCCAGATCGATGAACAAATATCTCAGATGAATTGGGAAGATCAAAATGTATTACCTATATGAGGAAACCATGTAAAAAACTTGCATACAAACAAATCAAATAACAGTGTATTACAATGTATTTGCTCATACACAGAATATTAAGAAGGCATAAAAGATTACAGTGAACAAGAAACACATAAAGAAGATAACAGTGAAGATAAGCAGGTAAAAAGGAATCATTCCATAATTTCCCTTCACACTCAAAATTTAGGGAAATTCAAATATTGAATATCCCAAAAATATATGAGCTCCTTCCCCCCCCCCCCTCAGAATTTCCTCCCAATACTGTAGCATCACAGTATACAGTATCTAATGTATCAAGAATAGGTAATACCAAAGAAGGAATCATCGTGTAGAAAATAAAAGTTTTTGTTGAACCTCCATCAACTGAGAAACAGGGAACAGAACATGATAGCACAACTATTTCAAATAGAAAGTTTGGCAAAACAGAACTCACAAGATCAACATTTGGAATATCAAGCCCACGTGAAGCAACATCAGTTGCCACTAAAACATTGAAATTGTTGTTTCTGAAGCCAGCAAGAGTTCTTTCCCTCTGAGTTTGTGAAATATCTCCATGCAAGGCCTCACATTTGAGGCTTTTTGCCATGACATATGATAATCGATCAGCATCACGTTTGGTTTGAGTGAAAACAATACACTTCCCTCCATTTGCATGTTCCTACCAAAGTGTATAACATTAGGAAAGGCAATGGAAGTATCTCTAAGTACCAGACCGACTCAATTGCAATCATTTTAGTAACAAATACCAAAAATTTAAAATAGCTATTGATTGATTTATAAACAGCAATGACAATAAAAATCATTTAATTATAGGTGACAGAAAATTGGTTGTATCTGGTCATACTGTTATCAGAGGTGCAAGAATTCCTGCTTTAGCAAAGGCATCAGATGCAATAGAGTATAGCAAAATTCCATCTGCCAACTTCTGATCAGAATCTCCAACCTATGGCACCAATAAATTCCAAGTTAACTTATTATCAATCAACTATAAGGATTCTGCACATTAATCTGAAACATTCTTATTACCATTTCATTCTTACAAAGTAAAAATCATAAAAAAATGTGTACACGACAAAAAGTTCACTACAATTCAGTTCCTTGTGCTAGACTCAAGAAAAGAAACCAATAGCAACCATCAGATCTACCTAACATCAAACTAATAATTGAATGACAGTCTATGCAGCAGCATAGATTCCAAAATTATAGATAATACTTTCTACAATTATTGTTACAATATCATCATATAATGAATCACTGTTTAATTTTAACAACCATGTCCCAGTAAAATAGTTATACATACATAAATGTATAAACGAAATAATGTTAGCAAAAACTATAATTTAATCTGTCAAATGTATCCAGAATACTTAACCGTGCCAGGATGGTTGTTCCTATATAGACTGCCCTAGGTCACCAATGAATATTTGTTTCTATTTTCCGAAAACAGCTTACAGACTTTCTTATATTTCCCAGTATTTCTTGGGCCAATCACTAGTATGAGGAGACCCTCTTTTAGCTCTGTATCTCTACACTGACCCTCTATTCTTAAAGTGGCAGGAACTTATTCATCCAAATACCTGATTACTCCCTTAGATTATAGTTATACCCTCTTTCTTTGCATTTCATCATAATCAGAGTCAGACACCAAAAGTTTGAGCCCTTTTCATGAGACTTTATTGCACACACGAAACTTTTACCCTAATTTGGAATTACTGCAATCCGAGTTCCCTGCAAGAAGATTTTACTAATTAAAATTTATTGCCTATTGAAGACCAAATCGTACACTTTTGTTTGGTATCCCATAATTTGCCCTTAAAAGTCTTTGGTCCATGTTATATACCAAACCCTTCCAATAGAAATGACATCTGAAAACTGCAATAGCGTTTCCCCTGGTGCCTAAAACAGAATTGCATACTTACAAGATCAATAGTTAGGGGGTTGTTTAGGTAATTGCGGGTAATATTCTTTATCCAAGGTGGCATTGTTGCTGAGAACATAAGAGTCTGACGATTTGGAGACAACCTCTCCAATATCTTCTCCACAGCTTCTTGAAATCCTACCTGAAGCATCTGATCAGCTTCATCAAGAACCACAAACTGAACATCCTTCAAATTCAGGGAACCCCTGTTGAGAAGATCAATAATTCGACCAGGAGTGCCTACTGCAATATCTACCCCATAATCAAGCGCCCTCAGTTGTTGATGAATGGGCATACCACCATAAAGACAGATTGTGTCCAAGTTAGGTGCAGCCTCATTAAATTCCTTTTCAACCTGCCGTGCAAGTTCTCTCGTTGGAGCCAAAACCAAAGCCAAAGGATTTCTCCCTCGCCTGTGATAATCAAGCATAAAACTTTGTGTTGTTAAAGACACATATCAAGAGTACATAGTATCAATTACCTAATCCACTTTCAAGCAGAGAAACAAGACAACAGGTTCAAGTAAAAGTAAGATGTAAGTGCAACTAACATAACGTACCCCTGCTTAGCATTAAACTGAATGATCCTGTCCAAGATGGGTATCCCAAAAGCAAGGGTTTTCCCAGTTCCCGTTCTGGCTCGACCAATCATGTCACGCCCTTGCATTGCAGGTTCCAGTACAGCTCTCTACAACAACCACAATAATAGAGGATTTCAAGCTTGAAGTTAATAAATTTTCTAAACAGCAGTGACTTCAAAAAATAGAAAATATATATATATCTAAACATAAATCAACTCATTTCACCACAGCTCTACAATAATAATAATATCAACAACAACAGAGTAGCTCAAGCCCAAAATATAGCACCAATTGGCTTTTGTGAAATTTCTATGAACTTACACATTTTTTTCATTTCCAACCAAAAATATTTCAGACAAAAAAATGATTTATCTTGACGTAGATCAACTCATTTCAGCACACCTATTTACTACCAGCACAAATATATCGAGGTTTTCAACTTTTAGTTAAATTTCTACATACACACATTTGCCTTCCGTTTAAGCCAAACTATTTCAAACAAACTTAAAAAGGACAAATTACCTGAATGCATATTAAATCATTTTCCACAGCTGTATAATAAAATAATAATTTTGTATTGTAAATTTGAGTCCGTATGCTAGAGCGGGAACAAATTTAAGAACTATTCCACTTCTCATTTAAGTTTCTCTCATTTTACCTTTTAATTGATATTTTTAATTCTTCCCAAATACTATTCCTTTTAAATTCAATTTTAAATTTTAAATCTTGACATTCCATATCAAATAAAAAATATTTATTGTTTTTTATTAGAATTTTTACGCACCATATCAAATTAATAAATACAGAAATATCTTGATTTAAATAACTTACTTTATTTAAATAATTCCATCATTAATTTTAACAGTCTTATCTCTGTCATTATTTACATCTAATAAAATACAATATTCACAAGATAATCGATTTTGTTATTATTGAATAACAACGGTATTTTGCTCTTATATTTTTATTTTTTATTTAAACTTAAAAAGCTTTAAAATAAAAAAAGAAAAAGAAAAAAGCTTGCAAAAACAACGACAATAATAATAAATTGATTTTTGCAATATTTTTCATACTTATCATTTCCCTTTTCCAAATTACAAACGAAATCGATCAAAACACGAAGCTCACTATATCAATCAATCAACAAACAAATCAGAATACATAAAAAGACAAAGTTTCCACGCAAATTGAAAATCACGGCCTTACCTGAATCGGGAAGAGCTTCGCGATCCCTTTCTTAGCCAAAGCATCCACGATCTCCTGCGAGATTCCAAGCTTCGCGATCTCGAGTCCTTCGTCACCATTCACACTGCAAACTTCACTGTCGTTAGAGTAATCGTACTTTAAGGCGTGTTGGGCAGAACGAGAAACCAGCGACGAGCGGAAACTCAAGGGTCCAGATTTCGCGTGAAATTCCCTGGCTCCTCCGCCGGAGACACCGTTCCGGAAGGAGACGGCGGAATCGAGCCGCCCGTGGTGATGCGGCAGTGTCTCGACGGAGGTGACGGCAGCGAAAAAACGACGTGAGAAAACGGAAGAGGATCTTCGGAGAATCGAACTCGTCATCTTGTGATGAATAGTTGCAGTGATTGATGAAGAAAGTGAATTGAGGGGTTTTATTTTTCTTCTAACCAAAGGGTTTGAGAATGCGACGGTGACAAACCCTTGCAATGTCTGAGAAATGAGAAGGGTTTTAGTTTCGAGGGTTTTAGGGGCATAATCCTGTGTGGACATGTCTACACACTTTGTAAATGTACTTTATGAGAATACACTACACGTGTACTATAAAAATTTCATTTTATTTATTTGTTTTTAGTTTTGTTTATATTGATCCACCAAAGAATGTGTTGCATTTGTTGATGCTCTTAGACTTTCATTTGTTGTTATTGTTGAATGCATGTAGCGTATTATTAGGTAAATTATCATATTTATCAATATTATGTGATATATAATGTGATTACATAAATTTATCTAAATAAATAAAATAAAATCACATCCTTTATAAAAAAAATTATCATCAATACATTTTTAACTCATTCTTTAATACTGTAATTTATTTATTAAAAAATATAAAATGAGTGAAAATAATATATACTTACTAAAAGCTAAAAGCAAACTTGTTTATGCATTTTCAATTGTAAAAGTAATTGTGGTCTAAAATTAACTTTTTACTTTTTTAATTTGACCAAATACATTTTTATTCTTTTTAATTAATATGTTTTTAGCTTCATGCTTATTAATATACTGACTTTTTTCCTCTCCCTTTTTAATGTTTAATATTCATTTTTAAAATTTAGGCAAGTGTTAATTTTAAAATTATATATCTATGAACTTTCGATATATATGATTAATATGAACATATAACTTTAATCAATAATTAGATTAACAAAATTCAATATAATAATTATCAAATTGTATTTTATTAAGTGAGGTTGATTCTATAAATTATACCATACAATGAAACTCAGTGAATCAAAAACAAAATTTTCAAATATATAATTAATTAAAAGATTTATTTTAATAATTGTCTTTAAAGTTCTTTTAGGTCTCTTTTAACATTTTTTTTACCATGTTAAAAGTTATGTAATTCACTTTTCTATCATCTATAATACGTTAATATTCTTACATATATTATCATTTTTTATTTTATTTTTTCTATTATTTATCTACTTTAACATTTTTTTTTCATTTCTATTTTTTACTATGTTGTTCCTTTAACAAAATTCAATATTTACAAATAAGAGAAATGTTAGTAAGACTTTCAATTATAAAAATTGTATAAGTTTCACTCTTTTTATTTTTAAATTAATATTTTTCTCTTATATATTTATAATTTTTAATAATAAGAAGCATGTTAGAAAATTCGAAACCCCCGCCGCCACACGTACACCCACAGGTATTTTGTATAATTAAAATAAAATCTGAATAATTTTGTGAATTTCATATTATTCTCTTTTATTTCAATTGGTTTAATTTTTACCCATGTTATTATTAATTTTTTTCTAAATTTTCTAGATGAAAGTTGATACATAATTTTATGTAAACTTTCATATTGTTCATGAACATTTATGTTTAATTTATAAAAATTTTCTTATTATCTTGTGTAAATTTTTAATATTTTTTAAACACGTGTTTAAATTTATTACAAAAAATCATTTTATATAAACTTACAATCTTTTCATTAATATAAATTTTTATATTTACAAAATTTATAATACTTAATCTATTATTTCAAGTACTTTTACTTAAAAATTCTCAATCATTACATGTACCAAATTTTATATAAAAAAGGTATATTTTTTATTAGAAATGACAGATTTCATCATTTTTAATTTTTTTTTTTCAAAATTTGCATTGTTTTTAATTATCTTTCACTCTTCTATTATGTTCTTTACTTTGTTCTATCATAATATCTAGGCCCATTCTTAATCTTTTTAAGACTCTGGACAAAATAAAAAATTAATAATAAAACAATGTTATATTAAAATGTAATAAAACAAAATAAAAACATATATCAATAATTTTATTAAAATAATATAATTTTTTTAAGTGAATACATTTTTTTTAATAAAATTATAAAAAAAATGTTCTTTCATTTAAATTACTCTTATATTATAATTAACTATAAAAACACAAAAAATTATAAAAAATATATTCTATAAGTATTTTGATATGTAAAATCATTAATGATAACCTTAACATCAATATTTTTTAAAAATTTCTTCTCGATCGATAAAATTATAAAATCATTCAACCGTTCTTGTGACATTAATGACCTTAAATAAATTTTGATCAACTTTAGTTTTGAAATAATTCTTTCAACTAATGTTATAATTAATGTGCATTTTTTTTTACATTATATATTTTGTTAAAACGATATTATATTTGTGAATTATAATTTTGACTAAATATATAAAATAACTTCTCTAATTTTTATTAGGATGTTATATTTGATAGATTTTATAATAATGTAAAATTTTCAATTTTTACATCTTTCAATTTTATAATATATTACGGTATTTCAAATTTATAATTTTACAAAAAAATTATTTTCTTTTTTGATCTATTAGTGCTTATTTTTTTCATGTGATTTTATCTTTTAGATAAGTACCACGTATTAATAGTTTTATAACATTTTATTTTGTAATTTTTAAAATCTATTTTAAATATTCAAACAAGAAGCTCACGTGTTTATTTTATTGTATTTACGTGCAAGATCTTATTATTATTTTTTAATTTGGAGTTTACTTTTAATAGGTTTATCTCTTAAATTTATTATTATTAATATATTAATTATCAAATCTAATTAAAAGAATTTGACACTTTATGATAAAATATTATTTCAATTTTTTTCTAAAAACGTCAATTGACAAATAATTAGGGTTTCTTTGAGAGTAACTAAAGACCTTTTTTTTTTTTTTAAGAAAGTCGTAAACAAGTTGCCACTAGGGTCCTTACCTTAGCTTGCCTAAGAGAGAATGACATAAGGAAAAAAAAAAGCACGCCCAAAGGAAAGAGACTTTACAAGTGTTCTAAATCTAGGACCATGGTTCAGAAAAAGTAGATAGAGATGTAGAAGCATAAAAGAGGAAAGTTGTTAATAGAAGAGTTAGATCTAGTATATCAAAGTACGAAGAAATTAAAAATTGAGTTAGAGGAGCTCGTGGAGAAACAAAAGGAAGACATGCAAGAGACCTTCAGTCTGTAACCTAGATAGCGAATCACTTGCATTTGATCCTTAACTTTCCTGCATCTTTCTCTTATAAAGATAAAGTGTTAAGGTCAAGAGACCTATGTCTAGTTCTTAATGATGAAGAGGTTATAAAATAAGTCTTAGAAAACTTTGACCTTAATCTTGAAGATACAGACGGATTATCCAAATTTTTTATTTTTTATTTTTTGAAGAAATCTGTCTATAATATAAACGGATAAAATACATCTATAATTTTCGTCTATATATGGCTCGCTATTTAGTGCAAAGCATTATAGACAAAAATTACAAACGAAAATATATGTTTGTAATTTAAAAATTAAAGAAAAATTTGGAGCAGAAATTACATACGGAAAAATCAATCTATAAATGTGGCCATTTTTTATCAACTTTTTAACTGATAATTTACAGTCAAAATTTTCTAAAAACTTTATTAAGTGAACTAACTTTATTAATATTATTAAATATGTAATTTTAGTTTGATATTTACTTTTTATAAATTAAAATAAAATTTATTGATGAAATATCAATTACTAGAATTATAGAGAAAGGTTGACAGTAACTAAATATATAAGCTAGAAAAAAGAAATATTTTACTTTATAAATTAACTCTCTTATATTTAATATTTTACAGGTGAAAAATAATAAGAAATTTGTTTTATTTGAATTAGACAAATCCTTCTAAATTTGATTCTCACTTCCCTTAATTGTTTTAAGTGAGTATCAGTATATGTTTGTCAAAACTTATTTTGACACTCAATCCTTGATTCATTGGCTCTTTTCAAATGAAAATTATAAAGACTTTTGAAACTTCAAATAATAATAATAATAATAATAATAAAAAGAAATCAAACTCTCTAACTTCTCTCTCTCTCATGACAAGTTTTTAAAAGATACATATTTAATTTTTTAAGACATTTCACTTATTTTTTATATAAAATTATCAAAATAATAATAGAAATTATTTCGTATTATTTATTTGTAAAACATTTAATTATCTAGTATTATAGAAATTAAATTTTAAATTAAAGATTAATAATATTTTCATTTATCATTTTACATTTTACACTAATTCAATTATTAATTTTTAAAAAATATTTTTAATTTAATAAATTTATATTCAACTTTCAATTTTTAACTTTAACTAACTTTTAATATTTCAATTAACTTGTCCATTAACTTTGCAACACACACTCAAAATATGTACCATAGAAATAATTAGTTTAAAACTTCTAAAAGAAGACGTGTTACTAACACTACGAGGTACTTGTTATTATAATACTCATAATTTTTTAAAAAAATATTATTTTAATATCTTTAAATTAAAAAAATTATATATTTTTTAAATAAATCATTAACTTTATTATGTATTATAAATATTTTATAAAATTAAAAATAATTATTATTTCTTAATTTATAAGTGACTATTAAACAAATATTATCTTAGAATTGAAATAGCAAATGGTACGGAACTTATAGATAAAGCCAAAAATATCACAAACGGAAGCCTTCACTCTTTTGTATCAGAGCCTGGTTTCGATCCAGGGACCTGTGGGTTATGGGCCCACCACGCTTCCGCTGCGCCACTCTGATTGTTGCTAAGCTTTACTGATAAAATTTTAATTCTTCTTACATATCAACATAGCCTCGTGCTGCTTCTATTATTCGTATCATTTAGAGTTACAAACTGAAAGACTAAAATTTCAATGAAAGAAAACACAGCTAAAAAACACAATGCAAAATATTGAAAAAGAAATAAAAATTGCAACAAAGTTTGGGTAAAATTATAAATTTGAAAGGTTGCAGTCTTTCAGATACTGTTGTTTTGATGATTAGTGCCTACTTGGATTTCATGTTTAAATACTCAAGGGTTGAAATTTAATTTAATACCACTATTCATAATTTCTGTATATTAAATTTATGTTTTTACACCTTTTTAATATATTTTCAAACGC